AAACTGCTATGTTTACATTTGGAGTTAATCCAGCCTCTGGTGGCTGTCTTCCGGACAGCCACTAGAGGCGCATCTGCGACGCTGGAGGCATATTTCGCCTCCATTGCGCAGAGCATCCATGGACACTTTGATTGCACTTTTCCAGTGACGTCAGATGGGGGAGCTGACGTCGGAGTGGGAGGAGAGTTCACCAGCGCCGAGGGAGCCCGGCGATGGATTAAGGTAAGCTGCTGAAGGGGTTTTAACCCCTTTAGCGCCAAGGGAGGTGGACCCGCACTATAGTGGCAGGAAAACCGCTTTGTTTTCCTGACACTATAGTGATCCTTTACGCATGCCACATTGATTCCACAGGATACAAATGAAACAATAACAAGAACAGAAAAAGAAGCAATCTCCGCCTTTGTGTTTATGAGCCCTCATGGAAGTGTATACAAGCTGGCTACAACAGAGCCTAGTGTAGTCACCCAGATGCAAAAAAAATCAGTACACAAAAGGAATAGTAAGAGGTGTGCTAAACAGTGAGAGATAAGCACAAGAAAAATCTAAAGTGAAGGGTATATATACAAGTAGATAGGTGATGTAGATGTACACAAATTAATCCACCTATGATAACTAGAGGTATATGGTAAAGGCGTCCCTAGTCTCTAGACCCTAAATCTCCTGTAAACACCTTCGTGGATGTTCTGTGCTTATACTCCGTCTAGGGTGATGTCCCTCAAGTTCTCAATCACTGTCTAAGTACCAAAGACAAAAAACAAAAATACTCAAAGTAAATGAAGTGAAAAAAGTGCGTGCATAGTGATAAGGTACTCCATAATGGAGGTACCCGTGATAAAACCCATGAACATTAACTAATACAGTTAAAAAAAAAAAAAAAAGTTTTTTTTTTTTTTTTTTCAGAATTCAGCGGAATTGAAACTCTTACCTTTCAATTAAAGGAACACAATAGTGTTCGTAATAAAAATAAAAACATGTGTTACTCCCTATTTCAATTCAGTGCCCTCTCTTCAATGTGGTCATCTGTATGCCTATAATGTCCCTTTAAGGCCTCGCACATAACAGAAACAACTCAATCAACTACTATACCAACAAGATGAAGATCAGAAGCAAAATACACAAACATTTTCCCTGCAGTAGCCCTAGAGACAGTAATGCATATTTCTCTATTTAAGGCCAATGTAACCTTAAATTTGAAAAGTGAAAGCACAGCTGACTTTGCAAATGTTTCCAGTTAGCCTATTTTTATTTTGAATTCTCAGTGATAGAACCCTATTAATATATGAATTGTATACCAGGATTTGCTTGACTTCAGGGTACAGGAATTGCAGATAGATAAAGTCTTGTAAGCCTTCAAATAAGTCTTCATGTTATTTAGTTTTTTTTTTTGTTTTTTTGTTTTTATTACTGATCATGTTAAAATAGTATTCACTTATCTATTGTAAAAAAAAAAATTTCTTACTCCATTTTTTTACTTTTTAAGAAAAAACAAAAAGCTTTTGGGGAGGAATAAATAAATGAATTTTAGAAAAACACCCACCCCACCAATCCCCCCCCCCATATCCTATATTTCCATTTTACTTACACATGAAACATGAGCTGAACACTTGACCTTCATCAACTTCTATTTCTAACTATATACATTTATCCATTGTAAATTTCAGAAGGCTAAGTTTACCAGAAAAAACAAGTCATTCGTAGTTACAGTCACACTATCATACATTAGAAATTCTTCAACATTCACAAACATTTTTGCAACAAATTCAATGTATTCACAACTTCGGCCTATTGACCTTCCTTACTGAAACTAATGTATATTAAAGAGGCACTATCACCATCTGGGGACTTTGCAGAATTTACAAAGACCCCCGAAGGTGACAATGTCGCTAAGGTCCGGGTGTCACAATGTGTCGTCAGCGCTCACAGTGCAATGGCAAGAGATGTAATAATCTCCTCCCTTGCAGGCGCTCTTCCTTTCCCCACCCTCTCTCCTGCCTCCCTCCGTTGCTTGTATTCAGGTTTTTTGTTTTTTCAAAATTAGAATTCCCTCCCAAAATCCCTTGTTCCCCCTCCCAATTCCGTCAGCTGAAGGAGAGGGATCAACACCGGGAGTTTGCCCAGTGCTGGATTACAGGTGAGTTTTAACACTATATTTTTTTATTTTTTTTTTAGAACTAATAGCAATGCACAAAAGGGCAAAGTAAGTCTAAAAAAGCTAATTGGAACAAAAGGTTATTGTGACCCTATAACAAAGCAGGATATAAGAAATTCTAAATTAAACAGACTGTGCAATAAAGGAAGTTTAAAGGGACAGTATACTCACCAGAACTACACCTTAATGTAATTGTTGTGGTGAGTATATTATGTCCCTGCAGGCTTTTTTCAGTAAACAATGTCTTTTCAGATAATCACTTCTGATGATGTCAGCCAAGAAAGCAGATGAAGGGCAGAGCCAACACCAGAAGACTGGAATAAGGGTTGGTTTTTAATATATTTGGGGGGGAGGGGAGGGTAAGAGGGAAGCAAGGGGGGTTAGATAGTGTTTTTACCATGTAGGGTTGGGAATACAGGTTTGTGTTCCTGACCCTTTAGTGTTCCTTTAAACATTTGATCTATCTTTACAGGAAATGTGTTCGGAGACTCTGTAGGTTCTGAAGTGTGACTAGAGCTGCATAAACAACGTGATTTAACTTCTAAATAGCAAAAAAAATGAGCAGTGAGACTGCAAGGGCATGATCTATACACCTAAACCACTTTATTACGCTAAGGTTGTTTTGGTGCTTAATTTTTCTTTGTTCATTCCTCTCCATTGAACCCCACATCAATCAGGACCCTTACTCACACCATAATTTCTCATTTGAGCTAAAACCAGATCCCCAATTCCATACTATTATTTTTCACTGCTCTAAAAATCTGGACCTACTCCATTATTCTCTTTTATCTGCCCCAAATTCAAGTAGAAGGTAAGATCACATAATTCTCTCTACTACAAACATCACACAACCTGAATCTATACCTCATCATTCAACCTCTCCCCGTGGTTTGAAACCAAGGCCAATCACAATGTAGACCCAAGACCATGTCATTCTTCAATTCCCCATCAAGATTCATTCCACTGTTTTACGTTTTAAGCCCCCAAAACAAGAGAAAATGAAATGCAACCAGTGAATACAATACTAGCCAACTGGTGACCAAAAGTCCATAATTTCTTCCCATGTCTCCAAACACAAGCATAATTTATTACATTTGTAGCATTCACCTTTCTCTATGTTTATATCCACTTTTCTGAGAAATAGTGACACTACCTGGCAGTATTTTCAATCAGAAAATGCAGATGAAACAAACCAAACTCTACATTTTCTTAGGCAGGAGACACATTTTGGCAAAATACTAAAGCGACTAAATAGTAACCCAGACACCTTCATCTCAATAAAATAGTCTGGATGACACGTTCACCCAATTTTAACCTTGCAGTAGAAAACATTGCAGTTCTGCAGAAATGGCAACATTTTCATTGCAGAATTAACCTGCCTCTAGTGGCTGTCAGTATGAAGCTTCTATGAAAGAGTGGGGTAAAACTCCACTATTTCAATCAGATAGTCTCAAAGAGACCATCTGACTGGTGCAGCGTTTTGCCGCACATGCACACAAGCCCCACAATGTTTTCGCCTGATAAACCATTAAAATGGTTTAGAATTTCAGTCTCAAAGATCTCAATCAGGTGGAGCTTCCCTGAGGAAACCAGCTCTGTAAGGGAGAAAAGGAAAATAAAATTCACCTTTTTAACCCTGGCAGCCACATCTTTCTATTTCCCATCAGTCATCACTTGCAATGGCTGATGGGAACTCTGGGCATCTTATCGTTGATATGTCAATTTAAAAAAAATAAAATAAAAACACCTATGAAGGATCCTCTGGGATCTCTCATAGGTTCCCAATTTGTATCCTTTCGCATTTATGAACGAGTATAGCAATGACACTGGCTTCTAGCAAACGAAACTCCCATGAGCTGAAGATGGAAATGCTGAGTTGGTGGGTGTATCAGGTAAGCATATCTTTTAAGCTAACCTGCCACCACGGGAGTATTCGCACAGATTCTACAAGTGACAGTGGAGCTTTGAAAAACTATTCCAAACTACAACAAGGTAGCGAGTGAGTAGAGCAGCACCCTCATACATAGCTCTGCAACAGCAAAACAAACCATCAGAAAAAGTGTCTGGGGGAAAAAAGCTGCCTCTTTGTATGTATAACTAGACTACTTCAGAGAAACTGCAATGTTTTTTGTTTCATAAATGTTTAAATATGTAACTGAATGTTTGTATACCCTGGGGCATCACTATAAAAAGAAGGGAATTTTCTACATCCCACACCAATCGACCACAGAAAACTTAAAATACTATGATACAGTTTTCCTCTAATAGCAAGTGACACATTTCACTTGCAAAATTACAAAAACAAAGGGAAAAAAAACAAAACAAAACATACCAGTTGGTCATGTCCAGGAAGAATGCGCAGCCAGCCGGGTTGAGCTGGAAGCCCAGGAGCCTCTGGAACTCTGAGATTAGAACATCTTTATCTGTGGTTCCTAAACAACTGAACTTTTGTAAGAGTTCGGGGTCCAGATCAACGTCCATCCCCTCCATGACAACACTGACCTAGGACAATACAGAGACCATCAACACTTCTGGCAAATGCATTGAACACAAACATCATAAAACCCACTGTATGGATCGGTCATACCTTGAACCCAGCCTCACACACCTTATTCTACCAATCAATAGAGGAGACCCTCTGGGACTGAACACTGTCACCAACCTGCTTGTCACTGCCTCACCCTCTCCTGCCATTAACTTGGCTATGATGGGCTGCTGTTGACCTTTGAGCTACTCCCCCCGTTCTCCCCCCGCCTCCTGTGTGTGACTTTTGACCCAGAGGAAGGTGGTCTTCGTTAGTCCTGGGATTTTTTTTTATTTTTGTTTTTTGTCCCGGTTTGCTATACCCACGCACCACGTTTACAGAAGCCGGGCCCGTCACGCCAGGCCCCGGTCTCCGGCTCCGCAGCAGGCCGCTCGGGGCCTCCCCGCTTCCTCAGCACTGCACTGCGTCATGACGTCACACGACAGACGGCTGAAAACTCACGGTACGTGTTGCTCCACCCCTAGCAACACACGTACGTCGAGGAAACCAGCGGGTTTGTTTTTGGGGTTTTTTTATTCTAAAAAACAAAATCAATCTGTCTTTCTAACAGTCAGTAAAATGTGGTTGCACAAAATTAGATGTGTATTTCCACTTAGTTTGATTCCACACATATGCGGCATTGCCAGAAGTGATGTAGCCAAACTAAAAATGGCGTATAGTAACGAATCTTCCAGTTTATTGACGTCACTTCCTGCCGGATAATGTTACAACTGCGGCGGTCTCTAAAAAAACGTCACTTCCGGCTGCGACAATAAACTAAAATTATAACTGCGGCGGTCTCTTAAAAAAAACGACACTTCCGGCTGCGACAATAGAGAGGAGGCCGCCATCGTAACCATGCCTAAGTGAGATTTAGATTTTTATATAATATGATCGAATAGATTGTGTATGAATGAGTGTTTCTTTTTATATGTTGTTGGCAATTGTAAGCGTATTTAAATTACAGTATGTGGTGTAAGTTGTGCCGTTACTAGTGCTCGATGCACGAATAGTAAAGTAGAGATGCTTTAAAAATCCAAGTATCTGATCACTGTTTAATTGTATTGTCTCTGTTTGCAGGTTTTATTGTGACTACTGTGACACCTACCTCACTCATGATTCCGTAAGTACCTGCCAATCTTGTATCCACATCTAGTGCAATGAATGAAAGGACTTCTTTTCAAATAGTTTTTATTGAAATTGTTTTTATTTTTTTTTTGTGTAAGATTACAACAAATTATAAAAACATTGTAATAAGGGTTGGGAAGGGGAGGAAAACTTGAAAGGAATTAATCACGTTCAGTTGCTGTATAAAGGAGTAGTGCTTTTATGAAGCGGTCATAGTGTATAGATCATGTCCCATTCACTGCTCAATTACCCGCTATTTAGACATTAGATCACTTTTGTGTCTGTTTATCCAGCCCTAGCCACACCTTCTATGGCTTTGGCTTACACAGCCACCCTACAGACTAACTAGAAAAAGAGTTCAAATGTTTTAAATTGCTTCATAGTCCAGTGAGTTCAGTTTTAGAATGCCTTATTTCTTGCTATGTTCATTTATTGCCTGCTAGAGACTGAAACAACCTCCTGCGTGTGACTAACGTTAGCAGAGTAAGACTTAAGAATATCTAAAGTAAACACATTGTGGTAAAAATTAACCCTGTCACAGCCATGGAAAGTGCGGCTGGTGCTGCATAAACAAAGTGGTCTAAATGAACACTCTAATGTTTGCAAAACAAACTTATATTTCTAACCTCAGAGTGTTTTTCTATCTTTTTAGGTATGAGAGGTAAAATACAGTATTTTTTTTACTTGTTTGTGCTTTGCCTTGTTGGTCTCCATCCATGTGCAGCATCATCCCAGCTGAGAACATGATTGAAAATGATATTGCTTCCCCATAGAATAATATTGTGGGGACTACTGCGCCAATCCACATCTCTTCCTAGAGATATATTGGCTAAATACATCGCTATGGGGAGCGTCTTTGTGTATTATTATCGCCATATATATAGCGCCAACAGATTCCGTAGCGTTTTACAATATTATGAGAGCAGGGATTTAGCATAGGACAATTACAAGAAAACTTACAGGAACGATAGGTTGAAGAGGAGTCTGTTCAAACTGCCAGTGTGTGAAGACACCCATACACCAGTCCTGCACATATTGACCGCACCATGGAATAAATGACAACCACGAGAGGTGTTCCTAGGATACAATTTTAACGAGCAGACCACTTCACCTCAATTAAATGGTCTTGGTGCAGTGGTTCTGCCATTTTAATCATGCCATATAAAATACTGCAGCTAATTAGAATATCAATATATTATGGAACCTTTGTTCAGCTGTTGGCAATAATAAAACACTGTTTTATTGTGTAAACATGGGCCTTGTTTTGTGAGCATAGTAGTTTTTGGTAGGGATCGACCGATATTGATTTTTTTTTTTAGAGCCGATACCGATAATCTGTCAATTTTCAGGCCGATAGCCGATAACTTGCCGATATTCTGTGCGTTAACCATTTTGAAAAAATAAACTATTTCTAAAGGTAAATGCACAAAATATACATGCCACATGTGTATTTGTGTAGTGTGTGTGTATATAATGAATGCAGTGACTGTGTAGTGTATAGTAATGCAGTGACTGTAGTGTGTGTGTGTATATGTATATATGTATGTGTGTGTGTGTATGCATGTATGTGTGTATATATATAATGAATGCAGAGTGTGTATATAATGCAGCGTGTGTAGTGTGTGCATTATATACAGAGCGTGTAGTGTGTGTTCCTGAAGGGATGTGATTTGTGTAAAATTGGGGGGGCAGTAGGGGGCATTTTTTTATTTTAATAAAATTTTTAATATCTATATATGGTTTATTTATTTTTTTTGTCCCCCCTCCCTGCTTGATACCTGGCCACGGGCTGAGTAGTGGGGGGGCCGGCAGCAAGCTGTGACTTGCCTTTCCTGCAGCTCCCTGTGTAAATCTTGCAGTCTGTGTTCTGCATGGAGCGTTGCCATGGTAACCCGTGGCGACGCTCTGACGGCCGTGGGAGTTGCAAGATTCACACTGGGGAGCTGCAAGAAAGGTAAGTCACAGCATGCTGGGCCCCCCCAGGACCGCCGGGCTTGTAATGAGCCCGACGGTCATGGGAGGTATTATCGGCAATATCTGTATCTTTATTGGCCGATACCGATATTGCCGAATATCGACGATAATCGGTCGATCCCTAGTTTTTGGCCAGTTGCACATACTGGTATGTGATGAGGAAAATGGCTTCATATTACTTACCATATGTTCTTTTGGTCATCATCATAAGCCAGGTCTCTCTAGGTAGTAGATGCGGGTATCTGTTGTTGATGCCTGTGTTAACCTCTGTCAGTTAAGGTCAAATTTTAATGACCCAGATCAGGCCTTGCATGCTCTGTATGTAACTTTTAGTAAATTCTTTGAAAGATATACTTTTTCTTGTGGTGGGGGTATTATTTCTGGCCAAATGAAGTGTCAAAATAACCCTAAATACTCTTGTAACCTTTTGTTTTGGTGGGTGATGTCTGTTTTATTCTTGCAACTTTTAAAGCTGGGAAAAAGTGTTGTGATGTTTCCTTGTGTGTATTTGGGGTATATTTGCAACCTTTCAATCCACATACAGCCAAGGATCTCTGCTCTAGTTCAAATTATTGCAACGACTCTCATTACTACTTTTCCCATGTGTATTTGCTGTTCATTATGCATGTTGACTTCTTTTTAATACATTTCTTCTGTGGATCTCCTTACCAGGAGATTGGATTTCGTGTCTTTATCTTTTCGTGTGTTATGTATTGTTATTCCGCCTATGTCTCAGTAACTTATGGAGCTGTGAGACCCTTTTTACGCTTGTTGGGTTTTTATGCCGTGAATGCGGGACGCCGATCTCTCGATCTGGAGCTGTTGTTGGTGCTCTCCCACTCCTCTGAACCAGTGGGGGTCATCCCGGTCTCCCTGGCAACTCTCAATCTTCTGTTGATTTATATTTTGTTAGCCCTATATGTAGTAGCTACATATGTCATGTATTACTGGTGGATACATATCAGAGTCATACGTCGTTTATTTGGTAAAATGTATTGGTTATGAATAGCAATGTAGACTTAAGATGTAACACAAAAGCATTATTATCTAAAGCTACTAACTATTGTGCTTGTTATTTTGAATGTTTTATTATATTGCATACAATCACCTTTTAACATGCCTGATGCTCCTACACAATGAGTGATTGCTAATATCTTACCTGATAGTCTAATATTACTACCTTTTGGTTTTCTGCTACTGTATTTTCTCATTTTATTTTCATTACTTTAAAATGAGCTATTAATGACTATAATGTAAACAAATGTGACAAGCTTGGAAACACATGTAAACCATTGTTATCGATTTATCTAAATGCTTGTGATATACTTCACATATATACTTCAAATTAAAAAAGCCCCCAAAAAACTATATTTCTAAATGTATTGATGTATTTTTCCTGACATATGCTGGCAGCATCTGAAATTAAAATTAACATAAAAAGTTCCTACCCCCAACAGGTATAAGACACCAATCTGCCATGGAACCTCAGTTCTCTTTCTTGTTCCATTGGGAACGGACGGTATCTGGAGTATTTCGGTGAGGCACATGGGTTGTTGCCAGGGGGATCCGGCCTGATAGCTTACCGGGTGGAGAGCTGAGTGGCCTGTCTTCAACCTGCAGAATTACAGAGCAGGTATGAGCGTCTTGCTTTATGCCGGTTGCGGTCACCAGCAAAGCAAGTAGAAGGTCTCTAGCAGCAGCAAATCACTGCCCGAGCAAGACGCATGCATGGGAGGTGATGCGTTCCACCAAATGTCAGAAACCAAGAAGGCCCCTTCTTCAGGACAGGAAGCATTCATGGAAGCCCAGATACAAAAACTTCCAGAACAATAGCCACAGGAGATATCAAGAAAAACCCAGGTTTTTTTGTCAACAGAGAAAAGATCCAAGGTTTGATGCACATAAAAACTGACAGCAAAAAGATTCTGACGCCATACGAGTGGGCAGACAGATACAACAATTTGTTCACAGATGGAGAAAGACCACTGCAAATCCGTGGATTTTGAATCTGGTTGCAAGAGGATACAAAATAAAATTCTTAAATGTACCAAGACCAGATTTCCTTATATCCTTCTACCGTTCAAAGCTTTAAAAAAAAAAAAGCTCTCTTTTTGGCTACGGTTACACTATTTAAGAAAGGTGTTCTCGAAAGAGTTCCAAGAGCCCAGCAATATCAGGGTGTCTACTCTCGGTTGTTCCTGGTCCTAAAACCAGATATGTCCTTTCGTTCCATTCTGGATCTGAAAGGATTAAACAAGATTCCATATCAACATTTCAGAATGGAAACCATCGCTTCTGTCACACATACCCTTCAAAAAGGAGACTTTATGGCAACATTTGGATTTGAAGAATGCCTACCTACACATACCTAGGGATGTAGGCTCATGAACATACCTGCTATTTGCCATAGGAAAGGGTTACAAAGTTAATCACTTTCAATTCAAAGCCCTTCCATTCATTTTTTTCCTCAGCACCAAGGATATTTGCAAAGGTTCTAAAGCCTATCACAGCACTCTTAATGGAATAAGGAGTTAGTTATTCCCTGCTTAGACTGGTTCATCAAGGCAAAGTCAAACGCTCCATTAACAGATGTGGCTTCAAAATCCTAGAAGAACATGGTTGGGTGATAAACCTAGAAAAATCAAATCTGCATCCTACAAAGTCCATTCAGTTTCTAGTTTTTTTTGTTGTTTGTTTTTTAAATCCACCTGACTGCGGTGAAAAGAAGAAAGATAAGGAATTTCATAAGAGAACTTCAGAGAGGACCAAAAGGATCTATAAGAAAAGCTATGCAGGTGTTGGGACTCCTCACTTCCACTATCCCAACAGTGAAATGGGCCAGGGTAGAAGCAAGGCCTTTGCTGTCGGAGATGTTTACAAAGTGGTCCAAGAAAGAAGACTTGGATACCTTGATAAAGATTTCAGACTGTAAAAAGACAACTGAATTGGTGGGAAAAGGCCAGTTTCCTTTTAGAAGATCTATCATTTCAACCAAAAGATTGGGTCATAATCACCACAGACGCTTTAAATTCAGGTAGGGGAGCTCACCTGCAGTGTCATATGAGGCAAAGGACATGGTTCGCAGAAGAAAAAAGGGAGTCCTCAAATTACAAAGAGTTAATAACAGTTTTGTATGCTCTTCATCAGTTCAAACTTCTCATATTGGGGAAAGCGGTGAAAATTCAGTCAGACAACCAGACTACAGTTGCCTACCTGAACAAACAAAGAGGTACAAGGATAAGAAAGTTGCACATCCTTTGCACACAAATTATGTCCTGGGCTCAAAGTCATCTAGAAGACCTATCTGCTACTCATATAAGAGGGATAGACAACATCATTGCAGACGACTTAAGCAGATCGAGGTGGTCGCAGAATGAATGGTCTCCGAATCCGGTCATCTTTTATCAGCTGATGAAAATATTCGGTCAACCTGTAATAGATCTCATGGAGACAAGGTCAAACGCAAAGGTCCAAGCATTTGCCTCCCTCTTCAAGGTGTTACAAGCGGTGGTTGTATAAATCCTACCCATAGTTCTGTGATCTCGATATATCCCTATTGTACTGCCACCATATGTCAGGAAAAACTGTAATTTTACTTACCGTAAATTTCTTTTTCCTCAATATGGTGGCAGTACAACACTCTCCCCCCCAACCCTCCCCCTGCCTTTACTAATAAATTTGATATTTTCGCAGTATTAAGTCTCTGGTGTTTTATTGTGACGTACTGAGATTCCATGGCAGGTTGTACTGACACCATATTAAGGAAAAAGGAATTTACAGTAAGTAAAATTGCAGTCTTTCCACTTGCGGGTTGTATTGGGGGGGGAGAGGGGATTCCTGTTTGAGTTCTTTCTTGTTTCGAGGATTTCTTTCATGCACCCTCATTCTGTGTTTAACTGCTCGTAAATGGTTTAACATTGAATGGAGGGACAATGCCAAAATAATCCATGGTTATAGTGTTTGCTGTGTCATTGTAACTTCATAGTACAGATTATTTTAGTAGAAACAGATTTCAGGCTTCTTTAGCACTTCAGTAATGTCTGCTCTGAGATATCAAGTGTCAGTTCCAATAGATATTGGGTGCAATGCTGCACTCTCCTAACTGTCATTCAGGATGCTCTTCCTGATTGAATTGTGTCTCAGCACAAACCAGAAGGCAATGTTTATTATAGAGAAGCATTGACTGTATGTTTCCATCTGTCAAGCGTTGTATGCACAGCGTGGTGAAAATGCACCATGTCTTCCACAGCTTCTATCTCCGTCTTCTTCACTCTTTCACACCTGGTTAGTGCAGACTTTTTCCACTGTTAGCAGATCCAGATATGTGTTGTATCAGATTTCTATTTGTTGTCTTGAGAGCTTAAATGGGCTGGTGTGCCAACATGGAGGTGGAAACCATATATCACTATGAAATCCATCTGCTTCACAATAGGCAATTCTATGAAATGGACCAGCTCAAATTAATTCACCCCTGGAGTAGCTGGTTTGTCTGTTTACACAGTAATCCTAGTGTGCAACAGTTTGCACACTACAATAACGGACGAATACCATGTTTTATGAAAATTGTACTTTGATTACTTGCAAGTCATGACAAGTTCACTTTAAAGGTACTCTCAAAGGGCCACTATAGTGCCAGGAAAACATACTCGTTTTCCTGGCATTATAGTGCTCTGAGGGTGCCCCCACCCTCAGGGACCCCCTCCCGCCTGGCTCTGGGGAGAGGAATGGGTTAAAATCTTACCTTTCTCCAGCGCCGGGCGGGGAGCTCTCCGCCTCCGATCCTCCCCTTCAGCTGAATGCTTTCCTATGGACGCTTGCATGTTCTCACTGTGAGAATCATGCAAGCGCCTCTAGCGGGTGTCTGACAGCCGCTAGAGGATTTGGAGGATTGATTAACCCTATTATAAACATAGCAGTTTCTCTGAAACTGCTATGTTTATCAAAAAAGGGTTAATCCTAGAGGGACCTGCCACCCAGACCACATCTTTAAGCTGAAGTGGTCCTTTAAATATCATAGGCAGTACATAGGCTATGGTGTCCACATGCTCCTTGCATTTTCCCCTGGTTATGTGAAACTATTGATTTGACTGAATCCAAATGGCTTTAATTACTTTAAATGCAGAAGTTACACTTCATTATAAATGGTACCAATCGTGTCTCTATTTGGATGTCATTGACTGCTTAATCTCATCCGCTGAAACTCAAGCCAATGAACACTGTCAATTGGTTGCTTTTAGGAGCTGTTGAGTTACTACTCTCCAGCATTGCCATTATCACAGGTGTTAAACCCGTATATTATTGTCATGGGTTGCAGGGTCTCTTAGTGTCCCTTGGTTGCTGCTTCTCTAATCCTTCCGCTGGTCCTGGATACAGCTACATCATACAGGGATTCTAGCCCTCTGAAACATTGTAAAAATTGCCCAATATAGTGGACAAGACAAGTCATATTGGGTAAAACAATATAATTATTACTGTTATTCCTGTTGTGTAGCGCTTCCCCAATATAATGGACACAACCAGTCGTATTAGGTAAAAGAAGCAAACTGACTTTATTAGGCCACTTGGTTTGTTATGCAGTGCCCCTAGCACGGGGTTACTAATACAAAATCACAGGAGTTTCCTTTCCACAAGCCATTGTGTTTGAAAGATAATTGAGCTCAAATTAAGCTAATCCAATTCTCTTAAATATGTAAAAATTGTATGTAAGTTTTCTTATCACAAAATGTATGACAACCGCATTGGAACCCCACAAAAAATATATTCCCGAATAGCCCCGATCTGAGCACACAACTTATCCAAAAAGCGCCTGGATAGGTAAAACTAAAGTTATGTTTGTGCCTGGTAGAGGTGGTATTGTCAATTTCCAAAGGGGTTAATTTGATTGTATGGGATGTCAGGGCTTACAACGTAAATTCCTCTTTGAAGCTGGGACCGCCAGCAGAGCTACTCTGTAAGGCGTGAGAAGTCACACACAAGTGGCCTGGGAGTCTGGTTTCAGCACAAACTGCACAACAGCTTTTACATAATACAATTAACACAATAGCTTTCATCCAGCTCAATATTTTACATAATAACAACATTAACACAGTGTAACCCCATATCATATATATCATTTTAAAGTCTGTGGGCAGGAGGCTAGCTGTTATGCCTGTCCAGTAGGCTGTGGCACGGGCGCTTCCATGACAATTATATTATTGTGTACTGTATTATGTAAACACAAAAATCTGACCAGTCTGTTTTATCTTGAAAGTAATTTTGCTCAAGTAAATCATTTTTGTCTTCTAGCCTTCAGTTCGCAAGACTCACTGCAGTGGAAGGAAGCACAAGGAGAATGTGAAAGATTACTATCAGAAATGGATGGAAGAGCAGGCACAAAGCCTGATTGACAAAACCAGTGAGTGGGAGAAGCACCATATTAATTTATGGATGAGACATACTAACTGATGATCCTTTTGTTAAACTCACAGATGTATATGAAATATAATCTATTGCGAGTGTTAAAGCTAATGAGGGAAACATAACAAATTGATTTTTTTGTTTTATTACTTTGGTTTTTGGTTATGGTATATAACTATTCTAAATGCTCCTTTCACTTGCCACGCTTCACCAATTTGGATTCAGAACCAAGCATACTTATTTTGGCTTTGCTTAAGAGTTCACGCAATAAACTTGTGATTTGAGAGAATGGATATTCTGCTTTAATCCTTTCTGAACACCAGCTAAATGTAAATTTTCATTGCCAAATTCCTGCCTTCACCTTTATCTTTGTAGTGAACAACAGCACTGAAGCAGAGTGTCTGTTGTCATTGCCCTGCCCCTCCCTTATGTTACAACTCTTTCTTTTAGACAACTTCTACTTTATGGGGTTATTGTGCCTATAATTTGGAGGCATTTTTAGGCATTCAGCTTTCCAAAAAAATACTATCCAATTTACGTTTAGATATTTGAAATCAGGTTAGTTAACAGCTTTTACTTAGACCCGCTCTAAAATATTGCAAAATATATTTTGTCTTCCTCCTTTAATGTATGGATAGCAAATTCATGCAATTTCTTATTACAGCGGCTGCATTTCAACAAGGAAAGATACCACCAACGCCTTTTGCTGCTCCACCAGCTGGAGGTACTATGCTTCCGCCACCACCTAGTCTAGGTATGTATAATTGCTGCTAAGAAAAATTTAAAACTGTTTTATATATGCTTAGCCACAGAATAACAGAGGAGAAATAGAGTTGGATTACAATGCAGAAGAATTTTGGTTTTATAGGCATCTGTAGTAATTACCTGAGATTTGGCAGCACTAGGTATAATTGTGGAATGGCTCACATGAAAAACATATGATATAGAATCAGAAAGTTATTATTCCCAGAATATGAGGACTAGAGGCTTGGCAACAACCAAAAATAAATAATGGTGTCTTGTGACATGCAGTGAGCAACCAAAAAAAATATCCTAATAAAGCCAAGATGTAAATTCAGTCCAGTTAAATGATTTAGTAACATTGAGAGATTAATGCATTTTGGTTTATTTATTTAAAAAAAAACAAAACAAAAAAAAAAAAACTGTTTCCATGTGACTTTATGCATAGGTGGACCACCTCGTCCTGGAATGATGGCAGCACCACCCATGGCTGGCCCCCCTATGATGCCAATGATGGGGCCACCTCCTCCTGGAATGATGCCAGTCGGGCATGGTAAGATTTTGTTTGTTTCTTGTATGTAGATGTTTTCACAAGTAATAAATTCATCAGTGGCAAAGCTGATGTCCTCACAATCACTAACATGACAAAAAATGAACACTATGGCAGCATTCCCTGTACTATTTGCTACAAATGCCGTAATATAACAAAGTATACACTACTTAAAGGACCACTATAGTGCCAGGAAAACATACTAGTTTTCCTGGCACTATAGTGCCCTGAGGGTCCCCCTCCCGCCGGGCTTCATAATGCTTTCCTATGGACACTTGCGTCTTCTCACTGTGATTTTCACAGTGAGAAGCATGCAAACTCCTCTAGCGGCTGTCAATGAGACAGCCACTAGAGGCTTTAGAGGCTGGTTTAACCTATTTATAAACATAGCAGTTTTTCTGAAACTGCTATGTTTGTTTAAAAAAAAAAAAAAAAGGGGGTTATCCCTAGCTGGACCAGGCACCCAGACCATGTCATTAAGCTGAAGTGGTCTGGGTGCCTAGAGTGGTACTTTAATCTAGCAGCTCTTTCACCCCTCACAGGAAAAGGACAATGGCATCTGTGTAAACCCTGTTACAACCTTAATTGACACACTGATTTTTGTTTTCTGGCTTCTTATGTGTTGAAACACTATAATTATAAAACTGCCTTCTTTTACTTTAATATCGACATACCTGGGTGTAAGAGGACTATTAAACAGTATATCTAACCTCTTCACCTAGACAATGCTTGTTTCCTCTTCAAGCCCTGATGACAAACCTTTTCACTCATTTCTTAATCATGTGAAGGAAGAATCCTTTTGACATACTAGAGCCAGAAAACTCATAAGTATGCGAAGTTTAAAAAAAAAAAAAAAACTTTCTATGCAACAAATCACCAACTAACTTAGTCGATAAATAGTGAAATAACTAAGAAACTGCTCATTTTAGACCCAGTTGGCCAAGCAGAGAATGTTTTTATTTATTTTTTTTTTTTTTTATTTTTTTTTTTTTAAATCAATTTTGCTATTTTTGCTCAAAATGTCTCATAGTGTAGTCAATACACCTTTTTAATTGCTTTATTCTTTTTGTTTTTGTGTTTTAAATGAAAACTTTAAGTACCATAACCACTAGGAGTGCTATGGCACCATCCCACGATATATAGTCCGTTTTTAGTACTATTTGGCAACTTGCCTGGTAGCCTGAGTGCTAGCACCATCTTGGCTGCAGAAGAAGCAAGGTTTCTCTATATAATGGAACACATGCAAGATTGAACTCATTGGCTTAGAGCATTCAGTTTACACTCTGTCATAAGTGTGGCCCTGTTTAGTTTTGTAGAGCTAAGTGGATTCTTCTGGAAGAGATTCGGCAGCAAGGATTGCAGGTGCCCAGTAGAACACTAGTTGTGGGACCAAAACTGTTTGACTCCTGCACCAGAACATGCCCTTAGAATGATCATTTAAGTGTTAGATAGTATAGGGCTGTGTTGTACCATAAGCCCAGTCTGCACAAATATATTTGAGGCCCTTAACTCTAATTAATAAATATGTATGTATAAACTAGCATAAGCTATGAGTAGGTCATTCCAACTATTTACATGTTATATAAACTCTTGGTTTATTGTGAACCGTCTGATCATTGATATTCAAAATAAAGATTGTACAGTTTTCCAATTTTTCTTGAATGTTAGTCTCCCCTTTTAAACCCTTTAGGAAGCATGACTTATTTATTCAGTCATGGATGTCCTTGCCTTAAGTACACATAGAATAATTCTGTAATTTTGTGGCTCCAGACTGACCATTGAGCTGTATGCAGTGCTCAAAGTGGGTGCTGTGTAAAGCTCTTTACATTACTGTGGCTGACCGTGTGTGTTAAGCCAGAGATTAATGATAGAGGGACACGCCAAACAGATTATTGACAAGAAGTTGTCAGAGAGTGTTCATTGTGATAATATTCACTCTCCCCAACCATATGAAATGGTGTTTGTTCCATCTGCCAAGGTTTTTCCAGATATCCGACAATAATGGAATAATAGTTCTGAGACGTTTTGGGTGATGTTGATGCCCAAGGGAAACTATACTGCCCAAATACAAAATAATCACAGTTTAGTAGATATTTCCCAAATGAACTTGCCTGCATTTAATTATTTTTATTTTTTCCCATTGGATATATATCTAAAATCAGCTTGCAAAAACTGTGGATCTGTTGTCTGTTGCCTTTGCAATCTTTCTTTCTAACCCTGCCCAGACTTTCTGTGGCCATCCAGTCACAGACTTCCTAATACAGTTCAATGGGAAGTCTTTGTAAGTCAGGTGATCTGGGCAATTGCGGCCTCCTGAGGTCAGCTGCATTGAGCTAATGAAACCAGGAAGTAACGTTACCTGCTGTCGGCTTGAAAGCCAAGGGGTTAATTTATAAACGTGTAAATTTCTTTTGAAATCTGCACTTTTTGCTAAATTAAAAAAGGAGACACATTCTTCACACACAGTGTTTCAGCACGCTAAAATTGTTTAGGAGTCTGGAGTGACCATTTTTTGCTACGAGTTGCCCACCTAAACTGGAATTTGTTTCTCAGCGGTAGCAATGTGGGGAAGGACTATTTCCATTTAAGAATTTCACTTTTCTATTAATTGATTTTAAAGTTAGACATAACACTGTAATTTTTCAAGTTCTTCCAATAGTAGGGATAGGGTTTTACCTGAATCTGTGAAAGTGAACAATAGGTAATCTGCAAATGTGGACACCTTATACGTGTGTTTTAGTTTGGAGGCCTGCGGGTGTTTTCTGATTGCCTGTAGTAATGGTTCTAAGAATATGATAGAGTAATAGGGGGAGAGAGGGCATCCTTGCCGTGTCCCTTTACGTATTATAGGACCACTATAGTGCCAGGAAAACAAAATAGTTTTCCTGGCACTATATAGGGTCTTTTAGGTCCCACTCCCGCTGGGCTGAAGGGGTTAAAACCTCCCTCTGCCGCGCGCATTCAAACTGCCCATAGGAAAGCCTTTCTCAATGCTTTCCTATGGACATCCAGCGTCTTCTCACTGTGATTATCACAGTGAGAAGCGCCTCTAGCGGCAGTCAGTGAGACAGCCACTAAAGGCTGGCTTAACCCTCAGTGAAACATAGCAATATACCTGAAACTGCTATGTTTTCAGCTGCAGGGTTAGCACTAGAGGGACCTGGCACCCAGACCACTTCATTGAGCTTTAAAGGTTTAGAGAGTTTACCATTTACTTTTAATCTGACTGAGGGGTTTGAATATATAGTTAAATCCATGTGGTCCATCTATGGCCAAATCCTAGAATAGTAAATGTTGACCTAAGGAAGGACCAATCCACCTTGTCAAATGCCTTTTTGCCATCTATTGAGAGCATGATCAAGTGGGGTATTAGCACATTTTGCTTTGTGGATCAAGTTAAGTCAAGTTAGTGGTGTCTTTTGTTGTGATAAACCCAGCTAAGTAAGGGTGAATTTGGTCCCCCAGCAGCGAAGTCTAACCACTAGCATTTTGGTTAAAAGTTTAATATTGACATTGATGAGAGAGATTGGCCTATAGCTGCCAAAAGATTCTGTTTTTTTCCTTGGTTTCTGTATAAGCGTTCTTATGGCTTTTTTAGGCTAGAGGTGGGAAGTTGGTGAGTTAAGGAAAGTGGGGTGACTGCTTTAAAAAAAAAAAAATGATCATGGATTTGTAATAGACGTTGGAGTAATAGTCTGGTCCTGGATTTTTGTCCTTTGGGAGTGAACAGTATTGGGTTTATTCATTGTCCATAAATGGCTCATCTAAAGAACGAGCTACAGCCACGGTTCGTATCGTGTCAAATTTACAAGCTAAGTCATTTAATTTATCTTGGGTAGTAACTGTATTTGAATTTTGGTTATATAAAGATTTGTAGAAGGATCGGAATGCTTCTGCAATATCTTCAGTGGCATGCACCAACTTGTTTTGATTAGTCCTAATTTTGGGAATGTAGGTTGGTTGTTGTTTTTAGTGCTCTGGCTAGCATTTTCCCACATTTATTGCCCTGTGAGAAGAATTTTTGTTTGGTCCAAAGTATATTTTTGGGCGGGGTGGGGGGGCTCTATAATTTTAGTAAATTTTACGGTCAGAGCGCCAGGAGAGTAATGTTTAATACTCAAGCGTCTAATAGGGAAGATTTGTGTTTGCCTCTAGTCTGATTTGATAAAGTAATTTTCTACACGCTCTATATTTTTCCCTGGTGAGAGCCCCATTTTATAAGTTTACCCCTTGAGACGTGTGTGCGCCTCCTGTTGTACATAAGGGTAAGTGTAAGGTGTGCCATTGTCATGAAAATATTGCTGGATATGTTGGGAGATGGATTGTTTAACTGTGTCGTTTTCTATAATATGGGGGTTTAACCTCCAATGGGTTTGCCTTCTAGGGTTGGTAGGAATTATTTAATGGAGATCAGAGCATGATCCGACCATGTGAAGTTACCAATGGTTGCTGATTGGAGTAAGTTGAGAGAGTGATGAGCCAGCAACATCAGGTCTATCCTAGTGTAAGTGTTAGTAAGTTTAGAGAAAAGTATAGTATTTTGCTGATGGGTTAAGGACTCTCCAGCAATCGATCAGTTGGTTTTGAGTGAGTACGTTATGCATCTGTGTTTTTGCTGCAGGCAGGTACTTGAGATTTAAAAGAACACTATAGTTGCCTAAACAACTTAGCTTAGTGAAGCAGTTTTAGTGTATAGATCAAGTCTCTCAGGTTTTACTGCTAAATTCACTGCCATTTAGGAGGTAAATCATTGTTTCTCTTTATGCAGCCCCTTGCCACACCTCCCCTGGCTATGATTGACACAGACTGCATGGGGGGGAAAAAAACTGGTTTCACTTTCAATCAGATGTAATTTACTTAAGCAAAAGGATAAACTTTCTCTTTACACGAAGTGTTTAGGAAGGCTGTGCAAGTCACACGCAGGGAGATGTGACTAGGGTTCATAAACAAAGGGATTTAACTCCTAAATGGCAGAGAATTGAGCAGTGAGACTGCATGGGGCATGTTCTATACACCATAACTGCTTCATTAAGCTAATGTTATTTTGGTGACTATAGTGTTCCTTTAAGGCTGTGCTATCTTTTTTCCCCCCAAGTCTAGTGAAAGATTGAGGTCACCTCCAATGATCAATTCTCCCTCAGTGTTTTTTTTTTTTTATATATATAAATACGCCTAAAAGAGCCACTTTGGGGTCTATTGGGTCGCTCCCAATTGACCAGGGTAATTTGCCTTGAACCCATGAGACCAGTTAAAATCCTAAATCGACTATATTTGTCTGTATTTATTTTTATATGTAAAGGGTACATTTGTCCAAATAAGAATAGCCACACTTCCCTTAATTTGCTGGCAAAGTAGTTGTTGTAGTAGATGGTAGGGAATTTTTTACGGTAACGTTTTGGAGCTGAGGGTCTCTGGAAGTGAGTCTCCTGCTGGAATATGTCTGCCCCAGACTTATAAATGTCCTTCATAACCATCACCCTCTTTTCTGGTAGGTTGAGCTCCCTGATATTGTAGGAAAGAATAGTAATTGTCTCCATTTATGCCTAGTATTTTGTGACTTGTACCTACCTAAAATAAAGTGAAATCTTAGACTTATAACGTACTTTGTAGATCAGCATAAACCAATTTATTTTGAATTCCTTCTCATAAGCTGAACTTGTTACGCACACATTATTATTGCCAAGACTGAAAAAATGTTGAGTTTTTTGCATTTGTGTACATTTTTGTATTAAAAAGTTATATATGTGTATTTTACATCAAATTAAAGCCCTTTGTCTTTTTTATTGGATAAAATCTATAGCTCTAATTCAAGGTTTTGTTTTTGTTTAGAACGTGTACAATCACCTGCATTCTTAAGGGATTAAGTACCTACACAAATGCTTACTGTAAGGGTTGTCAAAACTGCCAAAACCTTATAAGTGATGCATTCAATTTTGACATATGATCTCCAGGGACAAGACTGACCACATAATGTAGCATTTATTTATTGACACTTTTTGGTAACCTTCTCTGTTTTTTTAAAAGCTTTGTCTTCTATTCTTATTGCCTCCTCAGGTCCTGGAATGAGACCCCCAATGGGAGCTCACATGCCTATGATGCCTGGACCCCCTATGATGCGGCCTCCTTCTCGTCCCATGATGCTCCAGTCTAGGCCTGGCATGGCACGTCCTGATCGATAGTTGGTTATTCCCGGCATTCAGTCTCAAATGTCTAATTTTTACTTGACCCTGAGGAGTTAATGCACATAAAAATATAAACCTTTTGATTAGGAATAATTAAGCCGTTTCTGTGAAATTGTTTAGTTATCTTGCCAAATAGGTTTCATATTTGCTTTTGCTCAACTTTTCACTGTGGATTATTTGACTTCCTCATACTCTATTTTCAGCCATTTTTGTTAATTTCGGTCAAGTTTATTCACTAAAGTGTGAATTGTTTGAAATTCAAAGGGGCTATTTTGGCATAATTCTCTATGAATGCCTCATGATATGCACTTTTGTGAATAAACTTGTCCGTGTGGAAATTTATCCTTTGTGATGTATGGAACATCATGAGCAATGCAGTCTCTCTATTATTCGTTGGGAATTGGCATCTTAAATCCTGTGGGGGGTATTCACTAAAATGAGAATTTAAAATTTAAGGCCAAAGTAGCCAAATTGAAAGTATAGCTGACCAGTTTGGCTATTTTTACCTTGACTTTGAAATTGAGTTCTCCCTGCTTAGTAAATAACCCTGCTAGACTTGACTCTATAGCATGGGTGAAACCGGAGCATGTAAGAAAAAATACCTTCAGATCAAACCATACATAAAACATGGCAAAAATTATTTTGGTTTATGGTTAACCTTATGTCTTTTTAAAGTGCTCTGTTTTCCAGTCATATATTTTTGATTTGTGTTAATCAACCTGTGAAAGGATTTTGGTTTTTATATTAAAGCCTTTTGGTTTTTGTTACAAAGCAGATCTGTATTTTAGTGATGTCACTGTTACTTGTCACAGTATTCTTTGTTTTGAACACTCTGCTTTTGTAGGCATTTTTACAAAAATGAGGGGTAAGTTAATAAATGGGTAAAAGCAAATGACTGTGTGATACATCATAATGAACCTTGGTTTACCCCAAAAAAATTTACATTGATTCATACTTGCCATAATTTTATTTTCCTGAATGTAAACATGGCAGCATCACAATCGGTATATAGCATAGCTAACTCGAATGGGAGGGAATGAAAGGATAGAATACATAAATTACCGCAGAAATTAAAAATGTGTTACATTAAATTACTTAAAAACCGCCTCGATCACATTGTGACCAAACCCTGAGTTTGTGGAAGCTTCAATGTCCAAGCTTTAATGCTGGAAAAACTGTTTGGATGACATCCAGGTATCTACCTTACAAACTTTCCATGAGTAGAAAAGTGCTTTTGCAGAATGTGTTTCTTGGCGTTACTGGCCTCATCTAGTTACTATAGGCATTAGAAAAGGTGAAGCCGCCTAACCTTTATAATTAGGAGAAGGAATTCGGAACAAATAAGTAGACTTTCTCCAAGAGTATGTTCTACACTAAGCATAGGCAACCTTTGGCACTCCAGATGCTGGGACTACATCCCCCATAAGGCCTTTAAACCCATAATGCTGGCAAAGAATCATGGGAGGTGTAGTCCAAAACATCTGGAGTGCTGAAGGTTGCCTATGCCTGTCCTACACCCAAGGCATCTCTTCCTTAATAAACAGGTTAAAAAAAAAGACACACTTCTTTATATGATAAGAAAATGCAGCCCCCAAACAAACATAATATAACAGAATTAGAAACACTGCAAGTATTTTTGGTCTCAAAACAACAAAAAATCTAGGTGAGGGCAACACCAAAATTAGTCCTCTAACCAAAACAAAATATTTGAGATCCTTGAAAATGCAACCTGTGTTTAGTTCTATATACAGGAAAAACACGTAAATTGAATGTGGAGCTACTGATTGGCATAGAGGTTCTGGCGACTGCCCAAGCCAGTCTGCAACCTGAAAGTCAATTTCAAAAACCGGATGTCACTGAGGGAATTGGGGATCCGCCGCTGGAGACAACCTTTTGGGTTTATAGCAGGAGATAGGAAATTGGTTATCATGGTAAAACAGTGGTTAACTTCCCTATCATACATACATGATCATTCATCATGTTTTTGTATCTAATGACTATCAAGATTCTCTTAGAGCCCCTGTTTCCTTCCCTCATATAGCATAGCAAACAAGGTATTCACAACACCTTAAAATCAGAGCTTCATTTCAGTTCTCATAAAGCTCTGGAATGGATTCTCCATTTAGCAGCAATTAAAGAGTAAAGGGAACCTCTTCTAAATTTTGCTCTGATGCGTAGCAAAAAAACAGAATAAAGCAAATACATCAAGTTCATAATATATATGAAATGAAAGTACAAAAGGCTAAATATATATATATATTTTTTTTTTTCTCATACCATTATCCAAGGTGATAAAGTATCCAGCTAGCCTGTCCATCAACTTTTGGATTATTTTTTTTTGTCATTCATTGTTTAAGTTTTGCTGATACACACAGGGAAAAAAACTAATATTAAAATATATATATTCACTGCATTACAGAAATAGCAAAATTTCCTCACACTTATAAATTTATAAAAATACAAACAAATGAATAAATCATATTGTAAACTGTGAGAGTCAATTATAACCTACAACTCAACATGTCAGTTTAAAAACAATGGAGATATGATTTAACCACACTACATACAATTTATAACACCATATAGAATATTACAGAGGTAGACTCACAATATACATGAAGAACTCCAGTTCAATCTCTTACCACATGGGCGAGTCAGGATTCACCTAATAGGGTCCAGACTCAAGAAGCTAAATTTGAACCCACATTAAAAGGTCAGAAGCAGTTTGTTACAAGAACGTAAAAATAACACTTTCACAAAGTAAATCCAAATGCACTAGAGATGAATCCATGTTGCCCAAGCAAAATAATCTGAAGAAACTAGACCGAGACAATCTTAAGTCCTTCATGCACCATCTCTCCTTGAAATCATATAGTAACCTAACTCACATAGTTATATAACACACTTTGAGTGCATAAACTCTCTACTCATGAAGAACAACAAAAACCTGACCTTCCAAACCTACATTATTGTCATTTATATAGCGCCAACATATTCCGTAGCGCTTTACAAAATTATGAGAGGGGGGATTTAACTATAAATAGGACAATTACTAGAACACTTACAGAACTGACAGGTTGGAGAGGACCCTGCTCAAACGAGCTTACAGTCTATAGGAAGTGGGTTATAAAAGACATTAGGACAGGAAATCGCAATCAAATAAGGTGGGAGTGAAGGAGAGAGCAAGAGACAGGTATGTGTGGTAGAGCTTACTCTGGGGAGGCCATAAGCTTTCCTAAAGAGATGGGTTTTAAGGCATTTCTTAAACAATTGAAGACTAGGGGAGAGTCTGATGACAGAAGGCAGGCTATTCCAGAGGAAGAGAGCCACCCGCGAGAAGTCCTGAAAGCGTAAGTTAGCTGTACGGGTGCAAGCATTGGACAGGAGAAGGTCATGGGCAGAGCGGAGAGACCGAGGCCGGGCATACCTATGGATCTGTGAAGAGATATGAGGGGCTAGAATTGTTCAGTGCTTTATAGGTATTGGTTAGCACTTTGAATTGACTCCTATAGGATACAGGAAGCCAATGTAAAGACTGACAGAGGTGTGAGAGGACTGACTAGAGAGGAAAATCAGTCTGACGGCAGCATTCATTACAGACTGTAGCGGGGTCATTCGGCTTTTGGGAAGACCAATTAGGAGAGGGTTACAATAGTCCATGCAGGAAATTACTAGAGCATGGACAAGCTCCTTGGTAGCATCATGCGTAAGAAAGGGGCGAATGCGGGCTATGTTTTTAAGATGAAATTTTACAGGATTTGGCAACATACCGGATGTGAGGCTCAAAGGTGAGGCCAGAATCAAATATGACGCCAAGACAGCACGCTTGCAAGGATGGACTTATGTGGATACCACTAACATAAAGGGAGAGCGAAAGAGGAGGATCAGTATTAGGAGGAGGGAAGACAAGGAGCTCAGTTTTAGAGAGATTGAGTTATAGAAAGCGGGAGGACATCCAGTCAGAGATGGAAGAAAGGCAAGCAGTGACACGTTGCAGGACAGCAGGGGAGAGGTCCGGGGAGGAGAGAGACATCTGGGTGTCATCAGCATACAGGTGGTAGTGGAATCCAAATGAGGTAATAAGTTTGCCAAGAAAGGCAGTAAAAAGGGAAAATAGAAGGGGACCAAGAACAGAGCCTTAAGGGACTCCAACCGAGACAGGACGAGGGGAGGAAGTATTAAAAAAAGGAGACACTGAATGAGCGTTGGGAGAGATTAGAGGAAAACCACAAGAGAACAGAGTCACAGAGACCAAATGATTGAAGAGTTTGAAGAAGGAGAGGTCAAGAAGAATTAGTATGGAGCAGTGGCCTTTGGATTTAGCTGCGATTAGGTCGTTAGTAACTTTGATAAGAGCCGTCTCAGTAGAGTGGAGAGGGCGGAAGCCAGATTGAAGAGGGTCAAGGAGAGAGTTGGAATTGAGGAAGTGAGACATATGGGTAAAGACTTTCCAGTAGCTGAAGAAAAAGGGAGCAGGGATATGGGACGATAGAGGGGGAGGATGGGTCAAGAGATGTTTTTTTCAGGATATGTACTACAGTGGCATGCTACAGAAATAGCATGAATTGGATTTCTAGGGTAATTACATGTAAATAATCATACTACACTACCCAATGGGGCCTAAAACCAGTTGAATTTAATAAGATGGGTAGAGATCGCATTCAACATTTAATCCCAGGGTGTCCTAGTTGACAAAGTAAATATCTAGAACATTTCATGCATGGACAACTTCTGTTGAAGATCACCATCTCTTAAGGGCTGTTTTATCCTTTCTTATCTGTTACCTTACGTGAAAGTGAAAATGCCCATACATCCTTCATTGCAATAGTCAAAATGTTTACCAACCGTAGTGGACATGTGGCTGGTTTCCATATCATAAGAATGTTCTCTAATCCTATCCTCTATACTGTACATAGAGTTCAAGTAATCAAATAAATTACAAATCTCATATTGCAATTGATATGTTTTTATCGAATATGTCTTGTCAGTAACTTTAGAATGAAATGTTTGACTTTGAATAACAAACAGGTGATACTGGAAAAATTAGAATATCGTGCAAAAGTTCATTTATTTCAGTAATGCGTAAAAGGGGAAACATATGAGACAGACGCATTACATGCAAAGCAAGATAGTTCAAGCCGTGATTTGTGCGATAATTATGGCTTACAGCTCATGAAAATCCCAAATTCACAATCTCAGTAAATTAGAATATTGTGGAGAGGTGCAATATTCTAGACTCACACTGTAATCAGCTAAGTACGCCATAACACCTGCAAAGAGTTTCTGAGCCTTTAAATGGTCTCTCAGGCTGGTTCAGTAGGAATTGCAATCATGGGGAAGAATGCTGACCTGACAGTTGTGCAGAAAACCATCAGTGACACCCTCCATAAGGAGGGAAAGCCTCAAAAGGTAATTGCGAAGGAAGTTGGATGTTCCCAAATTGCTGTATCAAAGCACATTAATAGAAAGTTATGTGGAAGGGAAAAGTGTGGAAGAAAAAGGTGCACAAGCAGCAGGGATGTCCACATCCTGGAGAGGATTGTCAGGAAAAGGCCATTCAAAAGTGTTGAGGACTTTCACAAGGAGTGGACTGAGGCTGGAGTCAGTGCATCAAGAGCCATCACACACAGACGGATCCTGGACATGGGCTTCAGATGTTGTATTCCTCTTGTCAAGCCGCTCCTGAACAACAAACAACGTCAGAAGCGTCTTACCTGGGCTTAAAAAAAACAGACCTGATCTGTTGCTCAGTGGTCCAAAGTCCTCTTTTCTGATGAGAGCAACTTTTGCATCTCATTTGGAAACCAAGGACCCAGAGTCTGGAGGAACAATGGAGAGGCAGACACTGCAAGATGCTTGAAGTCCAGTGTGAAGTTTCCACAGTCTGTGTTGATTTGGGGAGCCATGTCATCTGCTGGTGTTGGTCCACTGTGCTTCATTAAGTCCAGGGTCAATGCAGCCGTCTTCTAGGAGATTTTGGAGCACTTCATGCTTCCTTTCGCAGACGAGCTATATGGGGATGCTGACTTCATTTTTCAGCCGGACTTGGCACCTGCTCACACTGCCAAAAGCACCAAAGCCTGGTTCAATGACCGTGGGATTACTGTGCTTGATTGACCAGCAAACTCGCCTGA